CACACACACACACACACACACACACACACACACACACACACACGGCCACTAAAGACTGAAGCACACCATTTGCAACCCTTTCATTGTTAATAGTTTAACAAGTTTTGAAATACCTTTACATGACACCACAGCTCAGGTTGTTGCTGTTGTTAAATTCATTCTCAGTAAATATACAGAGAATCACAGCAAGATCTGGTAATTTTATTTGCTTTTTGCAGGTTTTGTTGTCTTTGCACCAGAATAAAAATTTTCTGTTGTTTACATCAGTAAACAAATTTAAGTGAAAAAGTATAACTGATAAGCTTGAATGTTTTTTTTTTCCTGAACACAAAACTTATTTCAAACAGCAGCGGGCTTTAAAGGATGAGATCATCCACTATGCTTCTGTCAGATGCTGCTGGTTGTCAGACTCTGAGCTGCATGCTTAATTTAACTGCGAGGATCTGGCATTAAATCCAAAACTTATCTCTCAGTTTAATTGATCAGACCGCCCTAAATGAGCTCCGGCCCAGAAGACACAGCGTCAGCAGTTTTCTGAAGTGTTTCTAAGTGTCTGCTCCAGAATCCTGAATTATGGCTAAAAGTGTAAGGAAAACACAAGTTTTTAAAGATAAATTCAGCTGTTAACAGCTAAACATTTTTTTTCTGCTTTATACATTCTGGTTACAGAGCTAAATAAGATTAAATATCCACTCTTCTTTCTGTTTAGTGGAAATTTTTGCCCAAGCAGAAATAACACTTAAAAGGTAAAAGAAACTAAACACTAATACTTTAAATAAGCAAAACTCTAAAAGATGAAAGAAGCAAAATACTTTCTAAATGTAACAAAAACTAATTTTATCAGAAGGCTTCCTAGAAGGTAAAAGTAGCAAAAGGCAAACTAAAAGCAGCAAATGATTGGCTGTAAATATCAAACAAATAGCTAAAAGCTAAATATAGCAAAAGGCTAGTTAAAAATATCAAAAATCTGGCCAAAAACTAAAAGTAGCAAAAGCTAAATGTAGCAAAAGCTAGATAAAAGCAAAGAAGGAACTAGTAGAAGAAACTAGACAAAACCTAAAGGTAGAAGAATAGCTAAAAACAAAAAATAGGAAACATTTTTAAAGTAGCAGAATGGTAGCTAACAATGAAAAGTATAACAAAAGTTAGATCATAGCTAAAAATAGCAGAATGGTAGCTAAAAGTAGCTAGAAGAAGCTAGCAAACGTAAAGCAAGAATGCTAAATCAGATTTTAAAGACAATATATAAAATCTATGTCTAGCGCAACCATAAATAAATAAATGTATATACTTTTTTACAAATCATCCCAACATGTTTGACCTTTGTGCTTGATAAGGTCACTTTGTGTTACTATTTAACATTAGTGCTGGTGACTGAGGAGCACAGTGGATCAAAAGAGTGTGCGTCTGTGTGTGTTGGTGCCTGTGTTTCCTGATGACGTTGTCRTGCATCACTCGAACACCTACTGCGTATATGAGTGACAAAGAAACCTGCATTTGTCATTTGGCAGGATTGGCCAACAGGTTTGAGCRCAGGTGTGCGGTGGGAAAGCGAGCAGTCAGGCAGCCAGTCAGACTGGTAGAGTCGGCTTGGGAAAGAACAAATCTCTGCACAGGAAGTGAGCAGCTACTGTATCTTAAGGCAGAAACAATTGGTTTCACTTGGCCTCAAAAGAAAAACACACAGATGCTTATAGTTTTTTAAAGTTTTCTTGTGAACATTAAGTCCATCTCTGTGAATCTCAGTCAAATCCTACTAAACCTGTTTTACAAAACTAATAAACAGTTGTTTTAATCCAGTGTTGGGAGGAGCAGACGGTGTTCTGTTTTGAGGAAACAAGTTTTATTGATTCAATTGTGTGGCTGGTTTTACTCTGGAGGTTTTCTGCATCTTCTGAGTTTCTACATATAGAAACATAAAGATTTTGCCACTGACCACACAACTTTTGACCTTAGAGCCACCTTTTGTGTTAAAATTGTAAAAATTTCATGCCTTTTTTCTTTTTTTTTTGACAGCCTGATCCAGAGACAAATTAAATCGTACAAAAAAAAAGGCATTAGCTTTTGTCGCAGTCTTCCAAAGCAAAAAGAAAAGCTGCTTCTGATACCTGGAGTGCGTCACATGTGTCTCTTTATCTTCTTTAGTAAAATTTTCCTTCCATCCACCACATAAAGGMAAAAGTCTGCAGAAAGAAACACATCTTGGTACTTTAAAGCTGCTCACACTGTTCRTGTGTACTTAAATAAACAAAGACATCAGTGAAGAGTTCATCATAAATTTCCATCAGATCATCACTCAAGGTTTAAATTCGGTGTTTTTCTTTTTTTTAGACCAGGTTTCAAAACGTATCATGATGTAAAAATAACATTAAATTTAATGAGAATGCATTCCAACAGATTATCAGCGTACAAGACAAACTATTACCACATTTTATTTAATGACTCACTAGGATTCTAACCTAACTGCTTGTTTGATTTATAAACACCTAATTATCTTTAATGAACAGCATTTCAGTAGCAGAGCAAATTCTTTAAACACCTTATCACTAAAAACAGCTAAGACAAAATCTTATTGTTGTCAGCAGTAAATGACTCAGCAATATTTAAACTTTGAAAACATTGCCCCAGAACCATCTAATAAGAACTTCCTCTGGGAATTTAGTTCCGTTATTTGAACGCAAGGGAGAGCTAAAGCTACATAAACTATGAGAAAAGCTATTAAGCTGAAAGACATTTYATTTTAAAATAAGGTTGAGTAAAAACATACTTAAATTTGAGGATGTTCTTTACTGTTTACAGTCATTTTTCAACTGATTCAACAGGATTGAGATTATTTTTTCTTCTTCCACTTATAAACAATGTGTCTCACTCCAGTTCTCAAGTCTAACTCTGAGACCAATACTAAAGCACAAAAATTGCATTAAATATATTTATTACACTCAAACTACAAAATGAAATTATTTTACATTTTGAAAATATGAAAATTTAAAACACTAATAATATAAATCACCAAAATGAATCAAAACTATATTAAAAAACATCTGGTAAATGCAAAACCATGAAACTTTATTGTATGGTAACAGTAAGTGTCATATTTGATAAAGCATACTGCATAACAAAGAACAAAAGTTGAAGAAAATTCATCTCAGAAAAGATAGGAATTTTGAAAAACCACCCAGTGTTTTCTAGGGCCATAAAAGAACAACTTGTTCAGTGATGCATTGGAATCGTACAATGGGCGCTTGAAAGCTTTTTTGATGACAACAGCTGTCTTTTATGTCTGAGAATGACCCAGTGAATACAAACTGGAACATCTCTGGTTGCAAAAGCTTAAACAAAAAGCTAACAAAYGGTGAAAACTTTTCAGAATGWGAAGGGCATTAATATCTAATGTAAACAGGCTTTGTCATCAAATTAAATTGCTAATTTCTCTTYATTACATGTAATATTAACAATAAATAATTCAGCAGTGTGTGTAATTGATTTGGCAGCTGTCAGAAAGCTTAAAAATACATATCTAATGCACAATGAGGTTTCACTAAAAATACTTTGACGCACCCCCAAGCAGAGATATCAAATGGCCGATAGGGGGCGCGCTTAGCGAAGTTGAGACCATTATCATTTAGCAGAAGAAGTCCTCACGCGCAAGACCGGCTAATTTGTCATGTAATCATAACATGACGAAGGTTGTCATAGGTTTAATGGAAAAATATATGACAGGAATTTGACTGAAACCCAGTGTCGTCTTTTTAGGTAAGAAAAATAGCGAGTCTTGTGTTAAATTTAAAAAACAAACTGGAACGGAACCATTGGCTTTACTGTCACGATGCTAGTTAGCTAACACCAAGGAGGTCACACCAAACTCCATTTAATAACCAGAAAATTAAATGTTGTCGCTTTATTATCATTATGTAATATTTGCCTGGAAGTCGTTTCCTGTGTTTTTTATGGTCCAGTAGTTAAATAAATTTCGGGGGGTGATGAAGGGTGTTTTTTTTTTTTTTTTTAGCTACAATGAGGTTTTAGGAAATGATTTGGGATGCTTGCTGGTTGCATTTTCCTTCAGCTGCTGACCTCCAGCTGTTTGTGTGACCTGTTGATTTTGTGACAGTTTTCGGCCTCTCTGTTCGGACAGGAACCCAGGTAGAGATGAATGTCACCTGTGGGTTTGTGTCCGCCGCTGTTCGAAATTTCACCCCACGGAGYCCTGCCGGTGTTCGGTTCTGCTGGCAGCTGCTGGGCCCCGGCTCCACCACCAGGTGAGTGGACTACTTCCTGAGATCTCGTGCAAACTGGGTGACAGCAGAGGACAGCATGTACTTTATCTTAACGAGTCTTTAT